GCTTGAGCCCAGGAGTTTGAGGTTGCTGTGAGCTAGGATGACGCCACGGCACTCACTCTAGCCCGGACAACAGAGCGAGACTTTGTCTCAAAAAAAAACAAAAAACAAAAAACAAATGAGCTAACTTTCCTCCACGGAACTTTAGCATGGCTTAGGATATACACATTGCCTATTCTGTAGTACAGCCATAAAAAGGCAACAGAAAATATTCTAGATTATCATGACTGATTCTGATTTCCCCATTATAAACTTGGTACGATGTAAGTTTCAATTTTTTTTGGTCGCAATTTCATTTTTCCTAATCAGACAATTCAACTAGAAGAGTTCTCACAGCATAGTCAAACTTCATAGAAGAGTCTATTTACTTTAAACATTTAAATTCCCCCGACAAAGCCGCGACTAGCCGCCAGTGTTACCCCTACTTCAAGAACCTCTAGTTAAAAATATGTATACACTTTCTCCCCCAAATGTTTTGCCACTAAGACCTTAAGAAACTTAAAGGTAGGGGGGAGGTGACAGAAGAAGAAATTAAAAAGTAAAAAATACATATATATACTAATTTATATTACGTAACGTCTGAGGAGCGGGAGCCGATGACCAGAGGAGCTGCGCGACGCTGCTCGTGCTTTGCCTTACACGCATGCGCTTTCCTTCAACGGTCACCCGCTGGGGCGCGACAGCGGCCTTTTAACCCTCAAGTCCAGGTCACTTTTCCCGCCAAGAGCAGAACAAGGCACGCCGCGAACCTCCGATGTGGTAAGACCGCAGCACCATGTCTCAGTCAGGGAAATGCCGGACGCCAGTAGGGGAAGGTTACGTAATCGCATGTCCAAAGCCTTCGCAATATATACATAGCTTTGCTGCAGTGACCAAAGTGTTCTCAGCCACCATTTAGTGAATCATATTCTGATTTGTTTTATGACTTTTTATTTTGTTATTGGAACTACCACATATTGCATTCCACCTTCCAGTCTCCTGTCTCTTCAGGAAACCAGTTGCTCTAACAGTCTCTTACTGAGATATTTCTACTGTGTTAGGTCCATGGGAACAATGGATAGCTTTGACAGTCTCTTCAGGAAACCAGTTGCTCTAACAGTCTCTTACTGAGATATTTCTACTGTGTTAGGTCCATGGGAACAATGGATAGCTTTGACAGTAAATTGACTCATTAAGAAACTAAACAAGGCCGGGCGCGGTGGCTCACGCCTGTAATCCTAGCACTCCGGGAGGCCAAGGCAGGTAGAGGATCCCTTGAGGTCAGGAGTTCGAGACCAGCCTGAGCAAGACAGAGACTCCCCCCCCCCCATCTCTACTAAACATAAAAAGAAACTAGCTCGGCAACTAAAAATAGAAAAAGAATTAGCCGGGCGTGGTGGTGCACGCCTGTAGTCCCAGCTACCTGGGAGGCTGAAGCAGGAGGATCCCTTGAGCCCAGGAGTTTGAGGTTGCCCTGAGCTAGGCTGATGCCACGGCACGCTAGCCCCGGGAACAGAGCAAGACTCTGTTTCAAAAAAATCAAACAAAATAAATAAAATAAAATAAAATCAGAGTGA